CCGCATTTTAGCTGTCTTAGTTGGTGAAAAAAAATTTGCTAAGAATTTTTAAGTTAAATCATCCTGAGTATTAATTGAACCAGCTGGAAGCAAATTTAACTAACTCTTTGCCTTATCTTTTAGTGAAAAAAAGAAAAATATTAGTCTAGTGACATCATAAAAAATATCATTATTTTTGAAAGTATCGCAAATCTTCAAGAAATTCACAATATGAGCATTAAGATCATCATGACGTAAACCCCTAAACTGAACAGAAGTCTAAATCATTTGAATAATTGCTAGCTTTCAAAGTTGTTGGCTTGAATGGGAGGTATTTCAATACTAGAGTGGAGAACTTGTACAGGTGGGACAACATATTCCCTCAATGACTTGGTCTCTTCCCCTTGTTGATCTATAAATTTTTTACTTTGAGCAAAAACCTATTGATTTTTCCTTTAAAGTTTTTGAAAAGTCTTTCCAATTACTAGATAAAAAAAGGAACAATTTCCAAATTTCGAGCTCTTCACATATAAAGACTAAAAGTACCTGAAAAGAAAGAAAAGAAAATTCTAAATTAAGATTAATAATACTTGGTATTAATATTAACAAGAAAGACTTAAAAATCAATTCCCTGAAAACGGCTCCAAAAACTTCTTATTGGGTTATCAATGCAAGTGCACGTATCATTAAACAAGCAATATAGTGAAAAGTAGAGCGTCGATCCTATAGAGAATTGACTTAATTTTTACTGTTAACTACTAAATTAACACATTCTAATCTTATTCAAACAACCAAATTTAAATTATTAAAAAGTAAAATTAAAGCTAACAAACTAAAACTAATCTAAAATTAATCAACAAATTTCTTTAAAAACTCAATCAACTACTAGACCTAAGATTATGATATCTTTCAATACTTCATCTAAATATTGTATCTCCCTCTTAACTTACTTCATTGGATTACGTTGCTAACTTGGAGTCTTAAATTATTTACAAGTCTATGTCGAGTTTTTTATAAAAATATCTTTTTTAATTAACTTACTATATGCCTATTCAAATTAAATTGAAGAAATATTCATTAAGTTTATGCTCTAATCTTGGCTACATATAGCTTATAAGTGTATGTCTACCCTATTAGTAAATCAAACTACCTAAATAACTAAGTACATTCGATCATACGCTATTCTATTCAAGGTCTACCTTAAATCTTCTTTGTCAAGGTTTAACTTAGGTTTCTAATTCTATATAATTGGTGATTAGGCAATTAGAAGCATTAATAACATAATAGAATAAACAACTTAAAACCATCAAATATAAGCAAAAGATAGATAAATAATTTAGACTACATATTGAGTTCAATAATAATCTTAGATAACTAAATTAGTTCCCCATAATATAACAAATCATCATCAAATAAAGTTTAAACATTGAAACCAAACCAAGAAAACTAAAGAATAACAAAAAGAACAGTGAAACTCTAAGAATTGAAATCTTAATCTCCAAATCTTCTTGAATCATGCAATTTCTTCTTAGCTCCAATGAGACTTTTTTTCAATGATTTTGTGGTTGAATCTTGACTTTAAATCTTGTGTTTTTTGTTTTTCTAAAAGTACCTAAAAGGTTGCTTTAATAAGGTTTTAAAATTAGGCCAAGTTAGGTGAAGAAAAAAGTCAATTCTAACAAGAATTTTCTCATCAAACAACGTGAGCCGTGGCCTACCTCCACCAAGGTCGTGGCCTTGATCATTTAATTTTCAAAAATCGTGATTTAATTTTTCTCTCTAGGAGCTTTAAGTTTGATAGGGTTTTTGATCACCTTTCAAGCCTAACTAGGAAAAGTAGTAAACATGAAAGTTGTATATTTTTCTCTTAGACTTTTAATGGTTTAAAAATCACCTCATTATGAGCTATGTAGAGAGAGTTATGCTTGAAATGCCGAGATATGTGTAGTGAACATCTGCATCTCATAATTTCTCTCTTTTTTCTATTATAAGTCATTTTTCAGTAAACGCCTATAAAAGCAGAAATAAATCAATAACAACTTATCTTAGGCACAAAACCATCAATTTAAACATAAGATTAACTTAGATTAGATTGACTCACCTAATTCACTAACTTAAAATAATTAAATAAAATCTAATTAATTTTTATGCATTACTATAAGACTTAGCTAAATTATTATCAAAATTAAGTTCAAATAACTCTATATTATAGAGTTATCAAATGGTCCTTGGTACATACTTACAAAAACCCGTTAACTCTTTAAGGAGAAAACCCTTAAAGGAAGAAGTGTCCCTATTTCACGCATTGTGATGGTTCTTGGTGGCATAGGTGTAAAAGGGCGTTAGCTTTTTTATAGGGGTGAGTACTCAGCGAATTGTTGAGCTGTCTCATTAGTTAAGGTATATTTGTGGCTAATCATTTAGGGTTGCCCCTATTGCCAATGATAGAGCATTTGTATTTTCAATCCCTTTGCACTTATTTCAATATTAATAAAACATTTTCCCCTTATGTGGAACCAATAGCTGCATATATGCATATATGACATTCACTATGTCTTATGATTTTGCTATTGCATTTCATAAATTAACTCGTCACTATAATATATATTTACTTAGATACAATTGAGTTCTTGATTAGCTTGTGCGGAAGTGTCTACCCAAGTGCCGCACAAGCTATTGCATATTTGAGCCAGGAAACATAATCCATGACACTAGCATTCATCCAACCCAAATCTTCTCTTCTAACTTTGTTTTATGCATTCGCTACCTTAGCACTTGGTTCCTATCTAAAAGCACTGCCTCACCGGTACCTTCTCTAGGGACATCCTACTATGATCTTATGCTTTTTGATCATCTATTATTCGATATATTCAAAACCTTTTGAGTATGCCCCTCTTTCTCTCTTTCTCCGTTATTCTCGTCCCATTACTACAATCACACTTTGTCTCGCTATTTTACCAAAAGAAAAAATCCTCCATAGTTAGTCACAAAATACTTACGAAGACAATTTGTTGATAGATTATGCTATTACTTACAATATAAGTATAGGTGTTTAGCTAAACAAATTCCAAGGCAAAGGCATGTTTTATTTTCAGGTCTATTCTAGATTGAGGCTCATTTTCATAGTTTCGTTCAAATTTTGGAAGCAAATGATCATTCTGGTCAAAAGGTTTATTGCATGTTTGACCAAAATGGCTCTTCTCCTTTTCACCATGGTATTAACCATTCCTTACCTTAAGGAATAGAAATACTATTTTATGCATCATTTTATCTCTAAAATATTTTGAATTCCCAACTTTGTTCCCAAGGTAGGAGTGAATATAGTTAAAGACCAGATTCTCTCCAAACATTGATCGTCAAATAATTACAAATTACATCAATAAAAAGCTATGGTTTTCGAAGGTGATGAAATGATCTTTTGATGGCCATTTTCGACTGAGAAAGATCAGTCAAGGGAGCTAAACCGTTAGACCTAACTGCTGGTAGCCATTGAATGGTGCGTCGTGGGCTAGGTTTGGCCACGTAAAATGTCACAATGCCGTGCTAAGCAGACAATTTGGAAGTTGGAATTGCCGAAAGGACTTTTCGATGACCTTATTTGACCATGCCAGCCATTGAGGTCCAAGTCTAAGCGACCTAATCATCTGGTCATTGCAAGGCTATTACGGTGTGTTGGTGGTTTGATTTGCTCACTGGCAACACTTAAGTGCTCGATCAGAGACCAGATTTCGTCGCTGGCCAGTTGGGAAGGAAGAAAGAAAAAAAAGAAAAAGAGAAAACGAAAATGAAAAAACTGGAGAGGAAAAGGAAAAATTAAAATGAAAATAATAATAATTTTCATAATTTATTTAAATTTTTTTTAATAATTTAAAGACTTTTTTAAATATTATACTACTTAAAAATTTATTTAAAAGGAGGCATTTTACAAAGGAAACCAAGTGTTTATTTTTAAAAGATGGTGTTGATGTGTCACTATGTTTGTTAGTGGCTTCGAATCTTGCCTTGTGGTGTGTGAGTGATTGCTTGTTAGTAAGTGCCTTTGCCATGTTTTTCAAGTCGAACAAAACTAGGTGCCGAACATAGTTTGTGTTTCGTGGACACTGTTGCTGACCGACACCGACGACTTACAACTTTTATGTGTTGTTCTTGAATTTCCTTGCATAAGGTTGTCTTATATGCATATACAATAGCATAATTTTAAACAAGAATTCTATTAGAATCAAATTCTAATTACATTGGCTTTCATTAAAAATTGTTTTTCTTAATAACTGAATAATTTATGGATTAATATTACAAAATTTCAATTACAAATACTTCAAACTTTACACTTTAGAAATACTTGTATTTATATTAGATTGTTATTTAAAAATAAATTAGAAAAGAGTACGCACGTGTAACACATATATCAACAAATTCTAGTACTATTATAAGTCTAATTAGACCACCGCATTCATTAAGGAAAGTGAAAAGAATGTATGTTCTAATTGGTTATTCCTTTGCTACTTTGTTTTAACCATTTAATTTATTTTTTTTCAATATTTTTCCACCACTTCAAACAAATTCTATGATATAGAAAATCATGCAATTTTTATATCGAATCATAAACCATATTTATTCACAAAAAAGAACTTATAAATTTGAATTCATCATTTAAAATCAGATATGTTTAGTTGTTCTAAAATGCATTTAATTATCTTTTGAAGTGAAAAATAATTATGAAAATATGAGATTTGTTTTATAAAATAAAAATAAAAATGTTAATAAATAAATGATCAGGAAATTGAAGTGGAGTGATTAGAATTAAGGGATTTTTGTGTTGGTGACATGGCATCCGGGTGGCGTTAGATTTGATTTGATGGCCTGATGTGCAATAATTGGAAATGTCGAGTTCAGGAGTGCCGACTTGAGAGATGGTCCAAGTTCACAAATAAATGGGTTGGGTGAATGGGCTTTTTCTTGGAGATCGACCTCACAACCAACTCTTATACTGTTGGATTTCTTTATTCTGGATTCTAGTAGCTGATAGGGCGAGCGGGTGTGGGTGATGATCTGAGAATAAGTCGAAGCAACACTCCAAAAAGGGGTCACGAGCCATTACAAGACAACCCCAGATACGTCTCTCTTTCATCCTCATATTGCCTTTGCACGTTTTCTATAATATATATCTATTGCTCTATGCTTTAACCCTCCCTCCTTCTCTCTAAATCTGAGCCTTTTAAGCAAAACCAAGCTTCAGATTCCAGTGCTCTTGCTTCCCAAGTTCCAACGATGATCACGCACCAGTTTCTCTTGTTCTCCTTTTGCTTCGTTGCCTTCACTCTCTCCTCTGTTCCCGTCGAAGCCCTTAATGTTGGTGTCCAAGCAGCGGATTCTGCCATCACCGTGGTCAGTTGTTCAGCTTCCTTATCTTCCTTTCTTTTGGGATATAAACATTTTTACAATTCTTACCTTTTCTTTCTTACTTTGGCTCCGACATTGATTCCAGAGTAAAGAATGCAGCAGAAAATGCGAGTCAGAGTTCTGTTCAGGTATGCTCTCTTGTTTCCTCAATTTTCACTATGTAAATCTTACCAAATCTAAAACCTTTAAATTGGAGTCTTAAATTTTAAATCGTTCACGCCTTTCTTTGAGACATTAAGCACAGTGGTCTGTAGTCAAAAAGATTCAATCTGTTGGGCTGTTGGATTAAGCTTGAGATTATTTTATTGGTGGGAAAACAACAGTGCCTCCATTTTTGAGATATGGGAAGTATTGCGGGCTATTATACAGTGGGTGCCCCGGGGAGAAACCTTGTGATGGACTTGACGCTTGCTGTATGAAGCACGACGCTTGCGTTCAAGCTAAGAACAGTAAGTGTGATTTCTTTTTGTTCCTTTCTTTAATTATAAGAATCTGGCCTCTATGTTGAATCACTCCAAATATTTTGGTAAAGGACAGTCTTAAATCTTTTACCTTGAGGGTAACAATTTTTTAATCATAAGATGGCCTTGAACTTAGGATTTTTTTATTTATTTAATAGATATGTCTATGCCTCGGTGAAAAATGATAGTTTATCTAACTCTTTATTGACATGAGACCTTTCAGGAGAGATATTGAAATCGAATATCAAATTAATATGAGATAAATGAATCTTAAATTTATAAGTAAAATTTTCTTTCACTCAATAAGTTATCCTTTTTGAGTTAGAAGTGTGTATCCGAACATACCCATATTGTGCCTCTAAAAAAAAATTGTCAGAATCTTATTGGTTGAAATTTGAACCAGATCCCTTCACTTTGTAACACAAACATAGTTCTTAAAAGAGAAATTAAAATGATTGAAAATTTTACTCTCTCACTGGTAAAAAGTTAAGGTTAATAAGATAATTATTACTCTAGTGGTGGGATAGTCATAAGCTTGGATAAAAACATTTATTCTTCTTAAAAATACTTTTAAATTTGGATTGTACATCATTCAAGTAAAATAAATTAATTCAAGTTTTATATAATCCGAATTCAAATTATCACAAATATGGAGTTATTTCCTGTTACAAATTATTTTAAGTTAGATTAGATCAAATATCAAGTCACTGTTTTTTTTCAGATTATTTTGAGATTAAATTATCTTGATTTAAGTTAATTCAGATTTAGATTATGCTATTTTACTATAATTATATTTGGGTTTGGTTTGGGACAGTTTGAATTGGATTCTTCTGGTTGGGTTAGATTTTACGACCTTTAAGTACCAATTTTATAATTGGCTAGTATCATATAGTACAGGTTATGGACCCCATATAATATGTGGTAATGTAAATGTTAATTCCACCCCTAACATGCCCAAACGTCTAATTTGAATAGGCCCAGAGAGTGAGTGACTTAAAAGTAAAACTGCACCTAGCTTCAAATTATATTCAACTTTTTGCTATCGAAACTAAAAATAGCCCTTTTTTTTTTTTAATTCTCCTTTATTGTACAGTAAAATGCCTGAACCTAAATGATATATAGCCGGAATGAGTAGAACTTGAAGTGGTTTGGGCAAGAATGACATTTTGATTAAATTAATCATTAATTATAAAGATTTATTTGACTTCAAATAAAAAGATAAAAGACTTGATTGAATGTAATAAAAGTATAAAGATTTATTTAATTTTTTAAAATTATTTAAAAGTTTTTTTGGTATATTATGAAATTTTTCTAAAGTTAGGATAATTTTCCAAGTATTATTAGATATTGATTTCTGCAACTAAAATTGCTGGAACTCGTTTGGAGCAGATGATTATCTGAGTCAAGAGTGCAGCCAAAACTTCATAAACTGCATGGCCAACTTTCAGAAATCTGGTGGAAGGACTTTTAAGGGAAACAAATGCCAAGTTGATGAGGTGATTGATGTAATCAATGTAGTGATGGAGGCTGCTTTACTTGCTGGAAGAGTTCTTCATAAGCCATAGAGCGGAGCTTTCCACCCCACGCAAAGGAAGGACAAATATGAAATTAACTCAAATGTTATATTTCTGATTCTTTTGCTTTGTAGCCATACATTAAATTTCTATGTTTCATTTAGAAGATTTGTGTGATGCGCTTTGCCAATGGCAAAGACGTTTCAATTTGTTATTCTAAGCTACAATCATCTGTCATCAACTCATGTGGATTTTTTTTCTTAACCCTTAATTCTAAAAATCGAAAATATATAACCCATAGTTGTTACAATTAAAACGTTTAATCCTTAATTAAAAGAGTACTTAAACGTTTAACTCCAATTTAAACATTTACTCAAAATTTTAATTTATATTAAATTTACCAAAAATGTGATTTCTATGTTGAGATCATCAAATTAAATTTATTGTAAGATTATTAAATACCAACCTTAGATTTATTAAGTTAAATACCAACCATTGATTTTATTTTTATTATTTAACCTGTACATTTAGGTTAACAAGCTACTTTTTAATTAAAATTAAGTTAAAATTTGTTTTGAATTAAAAATGGTGGAGCCCAATAGAGGGAGGATTCTCCATTCTATTCTTCTTTAGTTTTTTTAAATAATTATAAAATATTGTGTATCCCTCAACTTCGATAACAAAAATTCTTTCACAAAAAATATTATTTCAATCAATTAAATAAAATTTTTAATTTTAAAAAATATTTTTTCAATTTTAATGTAAACATGAGAATAAAAATAAAAATTCGTAACATTTGACTTGAAATATGTACAAAAAAACATAATTAATTTCAAATAATTATAATAATTTTAAATGTAATAAAAGGTAACAATAAGAATAACTTTATTGTACAGTTTGATGTACATAAGTAAGATGTATAGAAAAAAAAAGTAAGATGGATAGTAATATAGAAATTAACTTTCTTAAAATTTTAATGTAAATGTGTAAGAATAAAGATAAAAAGTCATAATTTATTGTAAAAGAGAAAAATATATCATTTAGCTTTTTAGAAGTAATATTGTAAAAGAGAAAAATATATCATTTAGTTTTTTAGAAGTAATTTCTATCTCTCAAACCAGTTACTAAATATTCTTATACAAAAATATAACTTCATGCAATTAAATAAAATGTTAATGTTAAAAAAATAATATTTTTTAATTTTAACATAAACATGTGATAATAAAGATAAAAATACGTAACATTTGACTTAAAATGGATAAAAAAAATTATCTTAAATAAGTGAAAATATTATTATAATAATTTTAGACGTAATGGAAGGTAACAATAAGTACAACATGATTACAGCTTATGGTAAATAAGTAATAGAAATCATAAAGTTGAAATCAACCTTTATAAAATGTCAACATAAATATATAAGAATAAAGGTAAAAAAAATATTGTTTATCGTATAATAGAAAACTGTTATGGAATATGAATATATCACACTACATTAGATCAATACAAATTAACGTAAATTTGATAAACAATAAATATATTATTCAAATTTTAGATATTTCAAGATTCATCTACACATAAAAATTATCTAGGTGATAATGTGGTATTTATCAAAAAGGTAATGTAATTTAGAGATATATCTTATTAGGAGATTGTGATAACTATTGATCTGTTATGGGTTTTAACTATAAATTGGGGGACATCCCACCCTCATTTATAAAATACTTATTTTTCATTCCAAGCATTGCTTCAGTAATACATAAAGGGCATTCTCTCAATATCTCTTTTTTCTTCTTATTTCTATTATTTCTTTTACAACATGTTATCAACACGATCACCAAAGGACGGGGTAATTTTCTTTGGATCTTCATCAACCAATTAGATTTTGATCTTCTATACCGTCCAGTATGCCTGAAGCCGACAACAGACTTAGAGCATCCCTCCAGCCACTGAGGCGACTATGGGCCTTTGAGAACCCTTGTAATTGTCATAATTAATTTATGGGTCCATTTTTTCGTGCGTAGAATTATGGAAAATATCGAAACGGCCAAGTTCCATATATTGGAAGTGAATGGAGGCAAATATCTGTCTTGGTGTCTTGATGTAAAGATGCATCTTTAAAGGCAAAGTCTTGTTAGTGCAATTATTATAGATAGGAAAACAAATGACAAAGAAAAGGTGAATGCACTAATCTTCACTCGTTGTCATTTGCATGAGAGCTTGAAAACTCAATATATATCTGTCCGAGATCCTAAGATCTTGTGGACGAGATTAAGAGAGAGGTATGATCATATCAAGACAGTTATCTTCGCTTAGGCATAGTACGATTGGTAGCATATCAAGCTGCAATACTTCAAATCAACGTCTGACTACAATTCAGCCTTATTTAATATTGTTTCTTGATTGGAGTTATGTGGTGTAAAGCTCACTGAATCAAAGCTATTAGAGAAAAATTTTTCCACCTTCCATGCTTTGAATATGGCATTACAATAGTAATATTGGCAACATCAATTTAAAACATACTCAAAGTTGATTTTTGTCTTCATAATTGCAGAGCATACTAATGAATTGTTGCAAAAGAACCATAATCTTAGACTTGTTGGCTCGAAAGCATTCCTTGAAGGAAATGCTAGCTCTAGTAAGAGCATAGGCCGATTTAAGGGTCATGAACGTAGGCAAGGGCATAACCTTTGTAGGGGTGGCGGAAGACTTAACCACCTTGGGCAATCCAACCTTGGCCCGAATCATGGTAAGGGTAAGAAGCCCGTGAAGAAGCATTGTGAACGTATCTGCCATCATTGTAGAATGGTTGGACACTGATCACATACTTGTTGTACGCTAAAGTACTTTGCTGATTTATACCAAGCATCCCTAAAGGATAAAGGCAAACGTGTTGAAACTCATGCAATTGAGAATTTTATTGCTATGACCAACATCGAAGCTAATAATGCCTCTGTTAAGATGACTCCCTCTACTCCTATAAAAGCAAGAACATCCTTGATAGTCTTTGATTTCTTCGACAACCATGATAACCAAGATAAGGCATCAAAATTATGGAAGGCAGCCAAGAGTTAGGATCTGAGGATGTTAATGTTTTCCTCATTTGTTTTTCTTTTTCTAAATGTATTACCCTCAATTGATTGTTCCTAAGAAATAACAATATGGTCATTTAATAAACTTATTATGAAATTGATTCCATATTTATTATTTGAAAATTTTCAATCTCATGACTAATTTGCAAATATTTATGACACTTGACATCTGAAGTTATCAATACAAATGCAAGTGCAAACCACCAAGAAAAAGGGAGATGTTTGTTTACTTGCTTGATAATGCAATGACACACACCAAATTTCATGGTAAGTACTTTTTTTCGAGTGTGACATTGTGTAAAGCAAATGCCCATACAATATTAAGTCCTTTTGAGATTATCGATGGCTCCGGGAATACCACAGTTGTACTGCCAAATGACACCACCTTGCATATCGAGGATGCATTGCTAAATAGTATATTGAAAAGGAATCTACTTAGCTTCAAAGATGTATGCCATAATTGAAACCATCTTGAGACAATTTATGAGTAAAATAAGGAATGCATCTACATCACCTTTTATAAGATAGGCTAGAAGATCATCCATGAGAAGTTGGAAGTTTCAATTATAAGATTGTATTGTGCCATTATTAAAGCTGTTGAATCTTACACTACCATGTCCTGGAGATTGGTAAATCTCAATGAGTTTGGGCTTTGGCATGATTGCCTAGGTCACCCTAGAGCTATGATGATGCATAAAATAATCCAAAATAATAGAAGACACCTTTTAAAAGATAAAAAGGCTTTATTGTTCAGGATTGTACCTATGAAACTTGTTCACAAAGAAAGCTTATTACTAAACTTTTTATGACAAAGGCTAATCTTGAATCTCTTTCATTCTTACAAAGAATTCAGGGTGAAATTTGTGGACCAATAAAATCGGCAAGTGGGCTGTTTCAATATTTGATGATATTAGTGAACACATCATACAAATAGTCCCATGTTTGCTTGCTATCTACGAGTAACGTTGCCTTTGCACATTTACTTGTGCAAATTATAAAGCTCCGGGCACACTTTCCTGATTATCCAATCAAAAGCATAAAGATAGATAATGCTGGTGAATTTACATCAATGAGCTTTAACACATATCGTGCTTCACTAGGAATCGAGGTTGAGCACTTAACCCTGCACATTCATGTTCAAAACAGATTGATAGAATCCCTAATTAAACGCATCTAAATTATCACTCGTATTTTTTTATTGAGGACAAAGCTCAACTCTTTAGTGTGGCATGATGCAGTTTTGCATGCGATGACACTAAGTATATTGCATTCCATTGCTAGCCTCCTTTAATCTCCCATGCAATTGATTCTAGGCTATGAACCAGACATTTCACATTTATGTACCTTTGGTTGCGCTATGTAAATGGCTGTAGCATTATAAAAAATGACTAAAATAGGTTCCTATTGGCATTTGGGCATTTACATTGGTTTTGATTCACTATCCATTATTAGATTTTTAGAACCAACGGGTGAGTGATCTTTTTACTGTCAGATTCGCGGATTGTTATTTCAATGAAACAATGTTTCAATCAATTAGGATATCGAAGGCTTCCATGATTGAGAAGCAGAAACAAGCTGAGAATTTCTCCTAGAATGAGAAAAATCTATCCTATTAGACCCAATAACTCCTAAATGTGAAAGCAAGGTGCAATGTATAATCCATTTACATGCTATTGCCAATAGACTTTCTAACGCATTTAATGATACATGATATTCTAGTTGTGAATGCTCTGACTAGGATTGTTGTTCTTGAAAGACAAGTTGAAATAGATTAAAATGGCCCACGCTTGAAACATGAAAAATCAATGGGATCAAAAAACACTACCCTTCAAAAATGCAAGGGAAGGAATAAAGAATTTTCTCTAGAAAAGCCTAGTATTGAGCTTGCTCTAAAAGAACCTATTACCCTTAAAAAGGCATAAACCCATGAAAAAATCACCTTGAAAATACTGAGATCTCTATTACATATTATAATCAGATTTAGGATCGGAATGAGATAATCATCGATGATGTTTTTGCACTCTTAGTTGCTTTTAAGATAATGAACAATTATTATGAGCCAAGATCTATTATCAAATGTCGTCAAAGGCAAGATTAGTTCAAGTAAGAGGAAGCAATCCAAGCTGAATTGGCTTTTTAGCTAAACAAGATGTTTTCGAATTTGTAGCTCA